TTTCGATTTTTTTTTGGAAAAATTTGATGCCCTTATGATATTACTTACGAAAAAAAGTTCGAAATATAACTTTTAGGGAATTTTTTTAAATAAATAAAAAATATGCTGCTAAAAAGCGTATTTTTTTAGTACACCCCTGAAAATTTTGTACAAATCAAACGAACATTAACGAAGATACAGCGCTTCAAAGTCGGTAAAAATGACGCCTTTTTGCTAAAAAGTGGTCATTTTTTACGACTTTAAAGCGCTGTATCTTCGTTACTGTTCGCTTGATTTGTACAAAATTTTCAGGGTATATTAAAAAAAATACGCTCTTTAACAGCATATTTTTTATTTATTTAAAAAAAAATCCCTAAAAGTTATTTTCATTATTAAATAAAAAGGCTTTAAACATATTTTCTCGAAAAACCCTTGAACACGTAAATTGAGATATAAGTTTTTATCCAAAATTTCATAAAGATTAGTTTTTTTTAGAGTTAATTTTTTTTATTTATTATGCAATAATTTTGTCGGGCAGTGTATTTAAAATTAGTGTGATTTATAATTATTTTAATAAAAACTATTATATTATTGAATGAATTATAAGTCATTATTTAAAAATATTGTCTTAAATTATAATTATAGGCAAATTTGATTTAAAAGACCTAGACCATAGTTGAGGAGCATCCGTGGAAAACCGGCTATATCCATTTTAATAAATGTTGGGAAAATTGCAAAAACTCCCGGTTTCCTGGCCTTTACAGATAAACAAAAATGCAAACTTGAGTTTTGTGGGCTTTATGGTATTTGATTTATAAGACATAGGTACTTTTGTTTTCAAAAACTATATTAAAGCCAAAATTTAAAAAAAAAAATTGTATAAGCGACAAAAACTATTTTTGGACTTAACAAATTTTTTTGTAAAATAACTCATTTTTAATAATGCTCAAAAAGTTTATCATTATTTAGAACTTCTTTTAAATTATTGAGAGGACTTTCAAATTATAATTAAGTTTTTGAGCAGCATTAAAAATGAGTTAGGTATATACAAATAAGTTTGTTAAGCTCCGAACAAGTTTTTGTTTCCTTTTAGATAAGCACTATCCAAATAAAGAACCCAATTTCTTATTGTTGTTTGGTCGTTTGGTCGTTGTTTGCCATGTATAATTAAATTGACCAGTTGCGAATGTTAATTGACAAATTGCCATGAGAAGCTATCTGTCAACAAAGCAGTTTTTTTACAATTCAATGTTACATTTAAATGATATTTAATAAAAATAATTTTTAATTTATTTCATACCGCTATTGGAAATTTTTTAAATAAATTAAAAATTATTTTTATTAAAATTGTAAATGTTTTAAATAAATTAAAAATTATTATATTTTAAATAATTCTTTAAAATTAAGTGTATTACGAAAGTATTTAACAAAACATCCACGCCATGTAGAGAACAAAACATAATTTTGGGAATATAACATTTATTTTGAAAATCAGTAGATACAAATTTAAGAATCCCGCATTATTTTCCCCGCCTTCCTATCAATAAGTCATCGAGCGCCTAGTCCCCATTGTTGCCAGATGTACGGGCTTCGTATACTGCGTAATACTTATACAAAGCTGTATATAATCTCGTTTGACTCGTGTGCCCCCTACCACCAAAGCATTGGAACTAAGGGTGTATATTTTGATAGGTTTGAATGGCATTAGGAAGCCCACCACTTTTTCGCCATTGAAACAAGGGGGCATCACTTAACTCTAAAACAAATTTATACACGCTAATTTTAGGAAGCCCGATTTCGGGCTTCGTAAAAACCTAGTGGGCTTCGTTTATACTGTAGAATGTAACGTTTCGGGCTTGGTAATGTAGGATTGCATATCTATATCTATATATATATATATATATATATATATATATACATCCCACTACACTTATGGCGTCCTTTTATGGACGTCACTTATGGCTTCCCCCTTAAGGAAGCATATATATTCATTTTTGATTAAAGTATATTAGCTAACCCATTCTCCTTGTGCCTCCACTCGTTTAAAATTTAAGTTATTTTTTTTTAAATATACGGCTTTGTGACCTCCTTTTATACAGACATATGAGCCCCACGAAATATATGATTTTGTACATTTCACAATATATATGAAATCCGGCAATGTTGCCATATTTCATAATATAAAAAACTATTATATTTTTATAAAACTTAGGATATAACTTGAAATATTATAAATACCCTATATTATTTAGACTTTCTTAACAATTTTTGAATAGGTATTAAACGTATGGTGAGATTAAAAAACTTAATTTTATTGTTAGAAAACAAATAAATTGTTTTTAGTTATATTTAATTTGGCTCGATCTAGCATAAGAAAATTTGCGGTAGGTATATAAATTCAATTAAATTTAAAACTTTATATTAAATACCTACCTATAGGTATACTAATGTTAAAAAACTGTTTTTCAGAACACCATTTTACTTTGGAAAAAATCATATTTATTTATTTGACAATATTTATTATATGAGACGTATGTATATTTTTGCTTTTTAACAGTAAAGGACAAAAATATTGTGGCTGTAATTAAAAATAAATGTGGTAATATTCAAATTGTATTACAATAATTGTAATTGCAATACCACATTTATTTTTAATTATCATTACAATGTTTTTTGTGAGTTTTGCATACGCCTCATCTATGGATATTAGGGTGTGCCAAAAAAACTCGAAATAGTTTTTTTCTTGCTCTCCACCCAAAATATCGTAGAATATGTCCGAACAAATATTCTGTTAAAAGCGGAGCTCATAATTTCAATTTTAAGAGGTCCCTCATCGAATCTGAAGTTTTGCCGCTTAAATAGCACAGAAAACTGACCTTTTTACCTTATTTATTCTTGCAACCTAGGAAGAATTTTTTTTTTCATAAAATCCATGACCAAATCTTACAAAGCATTAAACTTGGACGAAAAAATCTTATTAAGCCGAATTTCTATTTTCATTATTTAATTTTTTACAGAGCTTTAAATTTAAAATTTTACGTTTTTTGCCCTTTTCAGCTAAACTATTGAAGTTAGACGAAAAAGTCAAATGGTAATTTTTTAGCTTGTCTGATGGACCACAAAAAAGTTTTAGGCGAATTTTTTATATCGTCAATATTCTAAAAGTTACAGGCGTATAAAGTCATCATTTTTGTATTATTATCTTTAAATTTAAAGCTATGTAAAAAATTAAATAATGAAAATAGAAATTCGGCTTAATAAGATTTTTTTGTCCAAATTTAATGCTTTGTAAGAATTAGTCATGGATTTTACGAAAAAAAAAAATCTTCCTAGGTTGCAAGAATAAATAAGGTAAAAAAGTCAGTTTTCTGTGTTATTTAAGCGGCAAAACTTCAGATTCGATGAGGGACCTCTTAAAATTGAAATTATGAGCTCCGCTTTTAACAGAATATTTGTTCGGACATATTCTACGATATTTTGGGTGGAGAGCAAAAAAAAAAAAATATCGAGATTTTTTGGCACACCCTAATGGATATATATACAAGGGGATGACGTTTTTTGTGATAATTTATTAGGAGTATTCTACGGACTGTAAGTCTAGGTACCTATCTATAGATATTACGCTTTGTTAATTTTGTAATAGGTACCTACTAATATTTAATAACGTGGGGGTGGGAAAAATAGTGGTTTAAATAACTGTATAGGTTCTATTTATATAGAATTATTATAATTATAGGTAAATTTATATAACATTACAGTTATTTAAACCACAATTACCGGTTACAACTTATTAAATTTTAGTATTGTAAATTAAACATAGCATAATATTTATAGATACCTACACTTTTAAAAATAATATCTGGCAGTCATAATAATTATATATTATTATTAACACTTTGTCGGGTGGTTAATATAATTTTTAAACTTAAAACTTTAATAATTATTAAGACCTAGGTAATATATATCAAAAATCTTAGTATTAAAATTTTTGAAGTGAAACTTTTTAAGCCTAATTTATAGATTGCCTTCCTTCCTTCATCCCTTCCTTCCGTAAAAGTTGAACAATGGTCAGTGTTCAGGTTAGTTAGATGTAAGAAAGGAATTTTATATAATTAATGTTGTTAAAGTTAATATAATAGTTTATATAATTATTAGGACCCTTTGTTAATACTCATCTTGCCATACTATTTTTTCATTGTAAAAATTTAAAAGTGGATGATTAATGTAATGTAAAGATGACCCATATACTTAGAGGCCGTCCATAAATGATGTCACACACTTAGGGGGGAGGGAGGTCGTCAAAAATGTGACAGTTTGCGACAGCCGGGGGGTGTTTGGGAGGTTGTGATGTCACATCAAAAATAGGGATGCACCGGATCAGGTATTTTGCCGCTGGCCGAACCGGATCGCCGGAATTCCGGCCGGATCGGGACTAGGGAATGCAATCTCGTTCTCGCGAGATCTCGTTTCCGCGAGATCTCGGCCTTTTTAAGCGAGATTGATCTCGGCCGAAAAATGAGCGAGATCTCGCGAGTTTAACGAGATCGCACATAGAAAATAAAAGTATGAAACTGAATTTATTAGAATCGATGGAAATTAATAAATTAAAGAAAAAAACTGATATTATTCTTAATGACCAAATAGATACCAATAATTCCCCGTTATTAAACTTATTTTAATAAATTCAAAAATTTTTAGTGTTATATAACTATAGAAATTACAGGGCATCCCCATAATTATTGTTCTGATATTATTCTTAATGACCAAATAGATACCAATAATTCCCCGTTATTAAACTTATTTTAATAAATTCAAAAATTTTTAGTGTTATTTAACTATAGAAATTACAGGGCATCCCCATAACTTTTAAACAGTGTAGTTTATATTAAAATAAAACAATATTGTCACTTTATGTTTATGCTGTGGTTGTCAACGTGATTGAGTTGATTGCGTTCGAGTATTTGTGTGGTTATTTATGTAAAAAAAGTTTTTTATGTGATTTACGAGTGGAATAACGAACGATGTCGGCGAATATAGTTTATAACGACTATGTGAGTGTGTCGAAAGTATGGAAACACTTTTTAAGAGCAGAAAATGGATTGAGTGCTAAGTGCAAACTTTGTAAAAGGATTCTTAAAACCAAAGATCGATCTCCGCGTGGCTTACATGTGCATTTAAAATCGATTCACAAAATTGATACAAAAACGAAGAATGTGGTAGAAGTAAGCAAGGTGCAAGTCATATCACCGCCGCCGTTGCCGCCACCATCTTCAAATACTGGGTCTACTAATCAAAACATGGAATTAGTAACAGCATCCGCATCTACGTCAAATGTTAGTACAGAATCACCAGAATCGTCGGCACCAGCGCCATCAGCAAGAAAGAAGAGGCAAAAAATTACTGATCACTTCCTCCCGGTTGAAGATACTTCTATGGAGAAAAAAGTATCAAGAATGGTAGCTAAAGATGGAATACCTTTTCGTGTTTTTTGTACCTGCAAAGATATGAGAGATCTCTTTAATTCTTCGAGACACAAACTGCCTAAGTCCCCAAACACAATTAAACTTATAGTTATGAATTATGGCATGACATTGAAAATGAAAATAATGCGTGAACTGGCTCAGCTGAAGGAGAATGATCACAGATTTACTCTACCATTTGATGAGTGGACTTCTTCTATGAACAAGCGATACATGAATGTAAATGTACACACATTTTTGAACGGCAATGCTGTATATTGGAATTTAGGGCTGATTCGCGTCTTTGGAAGTATGCCTGCTGAAAGTGGTGTCAGTATTTTGAAAACAAAATTAACCGAATTTGGCCTTATTCTGGAAAAAGATATTATCAATATTACTACAGATGGGGCAAGTGTGATGAAAAAGTTGGGTCGATTGATATCACTTTCACATCAGCTCTGCTATGCCCATGGAGTTCAACTTGGCATAATAGATACTATTTATAAAAAACAAACTGATGTTGAGAAACCTGTTATAGAATCTGAAAATGAAGAAAACGGCGATGAGATTTATTTTGAAATGGACGAAATATCTACTACAGACTCAGACTCAGAAGATGATGTTTTTCATTGCTCTATACCCAGAATAGAAGTAGACCTAGATGCAGAATATGCGGGTATTATTGAGAAAGTTAGGAAATTGGTAAAATTTTTAAAAGATCACCTACTAAAACTGATACTCTGCATTTGCAGCAAGCAAGAATTTGGAAAAGATATAAAGTTACAACTTGATTGTGAAACTCGATGGTCGAGCCTAGCAGACATGATTTCTACATTTAATAGAATCAAGCTGTGTGTCAGCAAAGCTTTGATCGACCTGGGCCTGGAAGCTGATCCGAACTACTCTTTGAGTGCGGAAGAACATGCGGTTTTAGTGAACTTAGACAAGGCATTTCAACCTGTAAAACTCGCTGTGGAGGTGTTATGTCGTCGAGATACTGACTTGGCTATCGCAGAAACAACACTTAGGTTTATGATTCGTAAACTTGAAGAGCTAAAAACTCCATTGGCAGAAAAACTAGCTGGCTCCTTGAGAAAGCGCATTGTTGAGCGTCGAACGAATTTGACAGCATGCTTGTTATATATTAGAGATCCAGCTAAATACCAAGCAAATAAAGAAGAGTTTGCGAAAGACGAAACCTTTAAATTGCCTCCGAAAAATGTGGTTCGAACTGAAATTAAATCACTTATAGAGCGCTTGCATTCGCAACACAGTCTGATCAATTCACAGACACAGACAAATTCAGATCCATCTTGGTCGATTGCATCAACATCAGCTGACACCGCTAATGATAATGCTGAATTTAATGATCAAGATAATAAACCGCTTTCATCTCTTTCTGAGACACGCAAGAGTATTTCATTGCAAGAAGAACTTCAGGAAACATTAACTGCTGCGTTCAAAGAACCTAGAGATAGAAAACTAACTACGAATTCGCTGGAGTCATTAATCAAAAAGGAAATGAAATTATACGAGTCCGGAGGGTCAAAAGGCGAACTTTTACAGTTCGCGGATGACTGCCTGAGATCTGTGGTTCCAACTAGCGTTGAATCCGAAAGGGCCTTCTCAGCGGCTGGTTATCTAGCCAGCAAAATAAGAAGCCGTTTAGCAGACGATTCTTTGGACATTTTGTGTTTCTTAAGAAGCTACTTTCAAAATAATTCGTAATAATGGCGTGTGATGTGAATTGAACAAGCCTTTTATTATTTGATAGGTATATTTTGTTAATTAATCTCTAATTTCTAATAGATCTTTGAGTTTTCTTTAATTGATAATAATATCTCAGTTTAAAAGTCAACTCAACTTAGTTAATGAGTTTCATTTTAGTTTTTGACTTCTTGTTGTTTTGTTATAAAAGAACTGTTTTATTATTAAAAGACTTTTGTTTGATATTAGAAGAGAAGACTAGTTGTTTATTTCATTTCCCATTTGATTAGATACGTCAAAGTTTACTACTTAAAAGTTTATTAAAAAAATTCGTAAAAATAAATGTTTATTTCATAATACCAATAATTCTTATTATTTTTTTCCTAATTTATTCAAATATTGTGATTAAATGCAAGAATAAACACACGAAACTACCAATCTCGCGAGATCTCGAAATCGACGAGATCTCGCGGTATTGTTATTCATAAACTCGCGAGATCTCGCCTGAGCCCCGATCTCGCGAGATTGCATTCCCTAATCGGGACCTAAATTTAAAATGTATGTGCATGCCTGTTTTAATACGTAAAACTGGCTGATTTATTTAATAAAGATAATAAATCTTAATTTTACTCAAAAAGTATTAACATTTTCTTAATTAATATTTTTACAAAGTATACCTAAAAGAGTGGGTGGAATCCAAAAATGCAAAAAATACAGGGTCTTTCATTGAAAATAAGATAGTTGGTATCGTCCCAAGGAAAACCGAACACCATGTATAAATGAAAATATAATATTTTTAAAATATTTTTTACTTCGTGAATATTTGTTTCTTACAAATTTTTTGTGACTCCAGTAGTTTCTGAGATAAGTATATGGGTCACCTTACGTGGACCACCCTGTACAATTTAACTGATTCGTCAAAAGTAACACCCAAATTACAGCGCATTAAAAAATGTTAGAAAATTACACCACAGTCAATAAATTACACCGCAATTGGCAACACTGATTTAATTTTCATCGGAGAATATATTCGACCACCCAGGCGGCATTTCAGGGGTGTAATAACCCAGCAATGTTCATTTAAGAGATATTTTAAAAATACGCTATTATAAAGTATTTTCTTGCGAAAAAGATATTTAAATAAATTATATAATACTAATAAATATTTAAATATTAATTTAGTAATATGTGCAACAACATTAGTTAAGTAAGGCACTGGACACATATTTTTTCGATTATTTTTTGACGTTTCTAAAAAACAATAAAATTTTATGTGTGTATTTTTATTCAATCAAAACATTTTTATAGTAAGATGCATGCATTATTACCGCGAAAACAAAACGGCATCTGTCATTAAAATAAAATCTGTCACTGACAGACTGTCAGTATACTATACTATAGGTACTATAGACTATAGTAATAAATAAAATAAGCAATTCTACATCGGAAGAAGAAATACACAAACAAATAAATGAGCAAACAAGGAAAAATACATCCAAAACACCCAAATTAGTAAGTTATATTAGTAAATTCTAATTTAGTAATACCTACATGTCAAAAAATCATCTATCAGAATACCAGTTGAGAGTTCAATAAATTAGAAAATATTTTTTCAGATATTTCTTAAACTTGTCATAAGGCAATAACCACGCAAGCCCTATGGACAACAAGTTTTGGAAATAGATACCTGTCAAATTATTTTCAATTTATTCTCACTATTACTGTTCAAAATTTTGAAAAATGTGATGGAAATTGACAGTACAAAATATGTGACTTTGCCGTTTTTGATATTAGACCCCTGATTAATATGAGAAGTAGATATGAATGTGAATATTAGGGTGTCCGTTGTTTCCCAAGTTTTTTTTCACTTTGGTATAAGTAATCTAAATTATTTGTTTACAGTCTAAAAACAATTACAAAAAATAATTTTTAATAAAATATACATGAAGCAATACACAGTAGATATTTTTGTAGAAAATTGTATGCTCTACAAAAAAGATCTTTCAAATTTTTTTCGTAAAACCATCTATTTAAATAATATAATATATATTAATAGTACTTATAAAATTATAATTATCAAAACGTACTCGTACATTATACATGGTGATATTGCGCCCTTAAAATCTTATAAAAACGCTTCAAAACATCGAACGTATTTAAAATAATAAAATTAAATTAAATGATCCATGGTTGCCAATTTTACGGACGCCAAATATGCGAAATCATGAAAACGGAATAATAATGAATATACAGACGGTCGACTAGAGCGCAACTAAGCCAAGCGTAATAAATAATGCAGAACTAAAATATACAAAAACGTACATAACACCGATGAAATTTTACCAGAAATGTTTTTACTAAAAATAAACTGAATTGTGTGGGTACTCGATATGGCGTCCATATACGTATATACATACGTATGTATATATGTACGTATATATATATATATATATATATATATATATATATAGATGTCTGACCGCGGAATACGAGATCCGTATATGGTTAAACTTGCGGAATATGAGATCCTGAGATCCAAAGGCCGGATCTCGCAACGAACGGGTCAATTATTTTAAGTATTTAGGGTACGCTCATGAGCTTAGTACCAAAAACCGCCGGATCTGACTTTCCGTATTTTTACCTATTTTGTATGTAAAAATAGTTCGTCGTTATTAACATAGAGGCGCTGCAATCGTTTTTGTATATAACCTGTATTTTCGAAATTAAGGAATACGCTATCCAAAAAATTGCAACAGCGCACAGATCTCGTTTGATGCTATACAAATCTAAGCAAGTATATACAAGTCTGTTAGATTTTTCTTGCTAGAGAAGTTTAAAGTGTAGTGTATCAAAATGTTTAACTCTAGAACGTCAAAAATTGTTCGATTGGCAAAAAATTACCTATTAACTTAACCTTTAAAAGAATTAGCGGGAATGTGAGTTACTAATAATGATTTATTAGATATAAAATCTACATGAAATTGGTTATTAACCAACATCAGATCCATTTATAACCAATATATCGATAATTTATCGTTTATGAATCAATTTTAAGACGAATATGAATTTTAAATTTGGGTACTACCTAAATTGCGGAACAGATAATGATATTTTAAAAAAATCACACTTTCTTAAAATGAATTAGTCAACAATAACTAATAATTATTAGTTATTGTTGACTAATTCATTTTAAGAAAGTGTGATTTTTTTAAAATATCATTATAATTATTAAGTCATATTTGACTAATTGTCATAGCGAAAAAGCAGTCACTAATTAGTAGATTTAAATTTTAAAAAAGTTTTGACCCATCTGGGGATTGAACTCAGGTCTGTCACTTGTCAAGCTTGTCAAGCTTTTGTCATAACCCATTCGGCCATCAGCCGCTCTTTTAAAAATCAATTTTATTTGTCAATAAATATTGTAATATTTTAAAGTTGAATATATTATTTGTGTTGCTGTTTTAAGCTAAACTGTTTGCATCTTTATTTGTTTAATGGGTCATTTAACCATGGAGCTTAGGTATATGCATTTAATTCAAATAATACTTTGTTGTTGGCCGCAAACGATTAAAGAAATTAGTTACTTTTAACTCTCAGAAATAATCAAAGATGGTGACTAATCTTAAATTAGTCAAACTTTAACTATTTACGTGGTAAAAATAACTATTTAAAAGTAAACCGACTATTTTATTTAAAAAAAAAATGCTGGTACTAATTCAAATAGTAGAGTTTTGACTATTTCATTTTTAGAGAGTTAGTATAACTTTTTCGAACAAGTGCGGCCAAACAATGTAGGTGCATCCAAGTAAGTTGTATCAAATGCACCACGAAATAATTTATTTCCTAATAAAAAATACTAAAAAATGGCGTCCACTCAGTGTAACTAAGTATTATAAATGCGGGCAAGTAAGTTTTATCAAATGCCCTAAAATTCGAAGAATACAAATTTACTGAAGGTAAAAAATATTAATGTAAAACTTAATTATGTATAATACTTTTACTTTTAAATATATTAATATTTAATATTTGTTATTTTGTTTACAAAAATGATTTTTTTAATATATTAATATTTAATATTTGTTATTTTGTTTACAAAAATTATTTTTTTAATAGGTATATAAAAATATAATAATTAAAAAATATTTTGGTGTGCGATAAAACTCACTTGACCGCACCTACACTGATCAGCCGTAGAGTGGCCGACTATTTTTCGACCTATTGTTAGCATTTTTTATTAGGTTTCTCACTTTTAGAGGCGGCGGCGGGGGCGGAAAAAAAATTTCGGGTTCATTTGAAACAACTTACTTGGTTGCACCTACATTGAGTGATCGACCATTTTTAGCAATTTTTATTAGGTTTCTAGGTTGTGGGGGCAGCGGCTGGGGTAGAAAAAAATATTTTGAGGAGCATTTGATCAAAAAAGTTATAAGACGTTTTTTAAAATATGATCTGTTCCGCATAATTTTTATTTTATATTTCTTAAGTTTATTTTTCCGTTAGATTATGTAATCAGTTTTTACAGGATTATTTAAACTTTTTATTATTATTATTATTTTATATATGTTTCTTAGTTAATAAAAAATATTTATTTCTGGTGTTTTTCTTTTAATAAATTTTTACTGGAACAAAAATTGTTGCTTCAAAACGTCCGGTATAATTTCGTAAAATTACAGCTTTTTTGTGCGCTTTAAATGGTGTATCTCTTGTTAATTCCGATTCTATTTTAAGTTTATAATACATAAAATAGATTATCTATATATACTATTCTTATCAAGATCAAAGGAGATCCGAAATATGGCAACACCGTCGGATCTCGCTTTCCTTCTAATTTTCGATGTATACATAGGGTTTAGGATCTCTTAATAAACATGTTTCATTTTGCCAATGGGTTTTCCAAAAGCATTTATATTAAGACATATTTGTAAAATTAAATTTGGTTATCATTAAAATTTTAAGGTTTTTAAAGGTATTTCAAGAAAAAAACAAAATTTTATGGTGGATCTCGTATTAGACATCTATACATGGATCTCGTTTTCCACTTTTATAAATATATATATATATATATATATATATATGTGTTACATTTTTCCAAAGATGTGATTTTCATATGACTTTGCTTACGCCCCGAGTCTTAGTGATGTAAAAGACACCAGTACTAAACTACAGGAAGTGTGGAGGAAAGCAAATATTCCTGTTAAGACGGAGGAGAATATCCTTGCTGGTATACAGAAACTGTAGAAAGAATACCAAAATATGGGTAAAGAGAAATCAAGAAACACGGATAAAGCAAATGTGAGAAGGGAGATTTGGAAACCTAGGTGACCTCGTCGAGTTATTTGAGATTTCCCGGCAAAATGTGATGGAAATGTCTAGCGTAACACATGAAGATAAAGAATTTCTTAAGTCACAAAGACAAGATCGAATGAGTTCGTCAATGGGTGGAGTAGACAAGGTTTTCGCCTCGAAAATAGGAACTAAGTAAGTGTACAAAAGAAGAAAAAAAAGAATCATATAAGAATAAACATTACAAAGCTATCGCTGAAATTAATAAGACAGTAATAATAAAAACTTATCTTTATCATCATTAGCACCAAGTGACGAAGAGGCCGAGTTTTCACCTACAGCAAAAAACACTACGTTCAAGTCCTAGATTAAAACCTCTTGATCAGAGACTTGCGTCCACTTAGGATCGAGAACAGCTCTCTATTAGACAAGCAAGTACTTCATTTATAGCAACTGCAAAGAGCCTTTGCCACGATGTTTCAAAAATTCCATGTCAGTCAAAAGTTCCAAGCAAACATCAGTAACCCTAAGCATTGCATCAAACGCTAATGAAGAGCATCCAATTTATAGGTTTCAAAAGAAGACTTTCAAAAATTTTCAAAGATATCTGCTAAAAGTAAAGCATCAGTTTTCAAATACAATTCAGCATATTCTTGTAAATTTTTAATATTAAATTTATTCCAAACAGTGATAGCATCCTTGTAATAATCATAAGGAAACACCCCTTTTCTCATAACCAGTTTAAACTACGTTTGAATAAAACTTTTTGGTAATGGACTTTTGTGAATCTGTTAAATAAGATGCTAACTTACTAAGACTGCTAGCCATAAATCTAAACGAATCAACAAATCGCAAATTAACCTCGGTACCCTTAATATATTTCGTAAAAAAATGTATCTTTCCATATTAAGTGGTAACAGATTAATTGCACCCTTTACCTTAGTACCAAGAGCTTTAATAATAAAATGAGAGTCGTATCCTGTCAAGTTGTGAAATATTACAGAAATTGCGTGAGATTTCTGATAACGCAAGTTATACCCATTGTGGGCTGCACCTCTAAACAACCCTGTAAAATGGTCATGGTCTCGTACCTGCGAGTCATTCTTGCTGGTAAAACGTTTTCCACAACAAATGCAATTGGTTGCATTAAAAAAAAAATCCCTTTCCTCTGCGGCAGTGGTAAAAGGTACCATTGGAACTGGATTCCATAGCAAACAGTCTACACGTTTAGCAATCTTTTCTAGTTCAAAAATAAACCACTCTACACAATCTTTACTAGTGTACATGTTAAATTTTGATAGGCTATTATCATGGGAACACTTTAAAAAGTAGGCAATGCTAAATGCCTCGTGTTTTTGATTTTTTTTTACTTTTACACCCAAAACCCACCTTATCATCTTTATAATCTATAAAAAAACTTTCAATGCCTGCATAAACAACATAGGGAACCATTAATTGATGTTTAAAATTTTTAAATTGCAAAAATTTATCGTCAGGGAGAACAGATTTGTATCAGTCGGTAACAATTTGCAATCACACTAATGTTTTTTTTATATTAATTCAGTTTCAAAATGGTTAAGGCATCGTTCACAATACCATTTTCCATTTTTAATATTACCCACTTGAGTGTTAAGTAGTCGAGATAAATTTTTTATATGTGCAAAATGAAAATAAATTGTTTCCATACTAGTACTACAAGCAACGATTGAAACACTTGTTGTTGTTATTGTGTAATTAAAAGTAAATTTATTCTAGGTGAAAAATCAAATATACTAAGGCATAATGGTAAAATTTCTTTTACTTCAGCCCCACTCCCACCACCACAACTACCATCTTTATCGGCAACGGTAAAAACGTTAATAGACAATTTATTCATTAATTCAAATTTTGAAATGTATTTTAGCGCAATGAGAAACTGTATATTTTCAAATTTTAAAATGTCTCTACAATACCTGCTACTACTGAATATTATTTTGTATATTAATAACACTTTATGATTTTGTTATAAACGGTGGTAAGGAAACGTACGTGGAAATGCCTGGAGCAATAGGATTAAATCGATTAATGTTAATTTTCAACTGTAAAATTTTGTACAAGGCCCAACCAGAGTCCTTTTCCTGAAACTCTTAAAAATCAACAAAATCCTATTCATAACAAATTGTTGAAACCATTCGTGAAGATTAGTATTAACATCAATAGTTTGATTTTTAGTTAGAAAAAGTTTCACAGATGTTTCAACAGTTTGTGGTTTAATGAATAATCCTGCAAAAACAACATTTACCTTTAACATTGATTGCTTTAATTCTCTTTTAGTTTTTAAACTTAAACTACGAAATGATTGTTAAAAAAATACATTGGGATCTTTAATTCGCAAATTGGTTATAACGCCAGTGCGAATTCTACCAATGAAGCATGATTCAATTTCTTGCCATATAATATTTCTTTTTCCTTTTACACCAATACCATCAACAACAACAACACCCTCCCTCAATCTAGTTTTAAAATTTTGTGAATAATGTTTTATAGTAAATTAAATTTTAATATAAAAATAGTTTTTTTTAATTCTTTAATAAATATTTTACATTCTTCCTTTGTCTTTAGTCGTCTACTTACTTGCTCGCAATTCTTCACAGCTTCAGTCGAAATACAATCAATAGTTTGAAGACTCATCTTGAACACACTTACTTTTTTTTAGAGAAGGAGAACAGGAACAACAACTACAACACTTTCAGATTCCTCTCCTGGTATATATCCTTTTCTAACTGGTCCTTACCAATTATCTTCTTGTACCAAATGAATAATACTCCTGGAACGTTCAAATGCACAAATTAAAACATATTCCTCAAGTTCTTCAGCGTAATAAATAAATTGTTCGATGTATCTTGCACGTTTCCAAGCATCTCCGTTCCAGAAATCTTGTTTAATATTTTTCCAATCTTCCAATGTGTTGTTGTACTCACTTTCTAATAAATTATAATCAGCTGCTAAATTTGGCTTTTATTTGTTCTTCTAAACTCACTTCCAAATTAACTTCTTCTTCGAGGTCTTCTATTAGGTATAGTAAATTGTCAATGAATGGTGGCATACTACTGGTACTGAACATTCAAATTTGCATTTATACACAAATTATCACAGAGATAAAGACTCGTCACAAAAGCAAACAAAATAAATCTTACAAAGTCATTGAAAGTTGAAAAAAAACCAATTCCACGAATAATAAGCAAAGTACAAATAACAAGTTATGATATTAATAACAAAGTCTGTAAAAGACATATTTCTTTTTTATTATAAAAAAATAATTCCACGATAATAAGCAAAGCTTAAACAAAACGTGATGATTTAGTAAAAATAACAAGTTATGATTTTAATTAATAACAAAGTCGTTGAAAGTCATATTTTATTTTTATTATATAAAAATAATTCCACGAGTTCAAACAACAAGGGATGATTTATTGTTTAGTACAAAGTATTACAAAGTTGTTGATTAATACAAACACGTGCATATTAATAACTTTGAATTTTTTTTTTATTAGTGAGTATATATATTAAATGCAAAACTTTAATAGTTTAATACTTTAGTAGTATGGCGAATATACCTTCAACATTGGTTGTCTTCTCTAATGACAAAGATAATTTTCAACTGTGGACTTGTACGTGGTGTGTAAACAACTATTCCAGTGAGTATATACATATATTTCTAAGGTTTTATTTTAAATTATTTGTTTTATTTTTATTTAAGACATAATAACAAGTCTATTCAGAAAAAGGGTGATAGGGTTTTTATAAACCTGTTATACATTGCAAAAGCTCTTACTTAAAAATAAATTTGGGAATCTACCTGTGAAATATATGAGGGTTAAAATCGACAACGAAGAAGAGTTTAAGGTATTGGAAAAGGTTGTGCGTCGTTATAGATTCAATTTGGTAGATGAGGATCCCGAACCACACGAAAATACTCTACGGTTGGAGGCAGGACCTTCATCATCATTTCAGAGAGGGACAAAAAGGCAACGAGGGTTTCTACCACCAATAGGCATAATGAAAATTATGAGGCAATGATGTCATCTACGAAAAATATTGAAAATGAATATACTTTGGTAATACTTTTAGTTAACTTGTTTGTCAGAACACTATTTTCTTTAGCAGATTGAGAGGGGTAAATAAATTAGTAATAGGACGTTATGAAGCCCTTTAGGATACAAATATATTTTAACAGTTTCTTGTATAGCTCTACAGTGTTGCCAGAATGTTGTATTATTTAAATGCGGTTGTTCACGCGTCAACCAAATATTTCGGAAACGGCATAAATAAATGCATCTATAAATTTAAGAGTCTCTAAGTAATATTTGGGGTTTTTGTAATGTTTGGCATTCATTGAATAAAAATTACTTGTTATATCAATAATCTATAATTCGAATAAAAATGTATTGTTGCTTTATTTTATATTATATTAGCTTCGCTTCACTATTACCTAATCGATTGAGCTGAAATTTGGATTATACTTTTGGTGCTGGTGACAATACAATCGAGTATACTAAATTCTGTAATTTATTTAAAATGGCTGCCTCTCCAAGATGGCGCATTACCTTTTTTCTTTAAAACCACGATATGGGAATTAAATAAAAGGGTTTGACAAGTAGAAAACCTTATAGTGACGTCCTACTAAATCCAATATGGCGGCTGCCCCCAGATGGTGAATCCCATATTTCTTTACAACCTACTTGACATGGGTATTAAATAAAAGGGTTTGACAAGTATAAAATGAGGTAAATAAGGTAAGTAACTTTATATTTGATCCAATATGGCGGCCGCCCCTAAATGGCGGATTACCTATTTTTTCACAACTTCCTTGACGTGGGTGTCAAATGAAAGAGTTTGACGAGTAAAAATGATAAGATGTCAGAGATGCGGTTTACATACTTTTCTTTAATAATAATAATATAATAATAATAATAATAAATATCGTATATAAATAACATACATACAACCGTTGCAACGGTCTAATGCAGTGAGATATAACTAGTTTCCATGCTTTGAGATTTATCCCATCCACACCCTCAGCATTGCAATGCATTGGTGGAAATGTTTTTAAAACTGATGTTTCATTAACTTCTAGGAGTTTATGAAATTTGGGACAATTAGCCTTTGCATTTGAATAAAAATAATTTATTAGGTCATCATCTATAGAAGAACATGGCACTGATTCTACAAAGTAGTTATTGAGATCTTCCGCTATTGTTTCTGGTATTGCAAGATTAGTATTACGACGATGGATATTAAGTTGGTCTAGAGATTTCCATAATTTTTAGAGTTGTTTTTATTGTTATTAATTTGAAAATGTGCTTTTTTCCTGTTTAATAGCTCCAGATAGGTAGTTCCGTATTTGTTTATAATAGTTAAATTT